TGACGGTCGCGCTTGTAATTAGGGCTGAAACTTGTCGTGGCTCTTAGGAGGTATAACCTGTCTCTGTCAGTCACATGAGGTCTCATTTCTAGATGAAACTCTAAATCTTGCAGGTAGGCCTGGATGTCGTGGCCCTCTGTGGAGTTCGGCTTGAACTTGCTGATGTTTTTAGACCGCTTGTTGAGGTCTTTGATGGTCATCCCATGTGCAGCTCCAAGGTCTGCTTGGATGGGCGGTTTTCTTTCGTTGGCAGAAAAGGGTTGTGTGGCGAAGGCAGGTGAGGTTTTGGGTTGAGGCCCTTCGCTTCTTACGTTGTATGCCAGTTCTTGGACATGGGACTCTGCTCTGCTCAGCAGTAGTGAGGCTGAGAGATGTTTCTCTTTTCTTGGCTCTTGTTTCAACTCATAAGCATATTTGAGTTATTTTCTGACCATGTAGAGCTCATCGCTGGTATCATCTAATTGTTGGGTCAGATTGTCCATTTCAGTTCTGTACCTTTCAAGGTGGTCTTTCAAGGTACTGATTTCAGCATTCTTGTCTTTGATGTCATTCTTGGCTTTCTCTAGTAGCTGTTCGGCATACTGGAGTCTGTTTACCAGGTCTTTCTGGACAGCCTTTGAATGTTGTTGGTCGAGCTGCGCTGCTGCCAGGGCTGCTTGGAGCTCCTTAACTTGTTCCGTTGTTTCCTGCTCCCTCTCGTTGGGTGCTTTGAGTTGATCTTGAACTTTCACTTCCAGCTTGTCTATGCGGCATTGAGCACGATGTATAAAACTGATTTGTCTCACAGATGAACGGTTACAGTGCATACTGTAAATAACTGACACAACTGATGGCAAGGCAAAAATATAAGCAATAAATGATGCATCAAAATTTCAACATTGTGAGATAATCATGAGGCTATATAATTGTGAGAGTTTGATACTGAAATGTTCTCATTGGTCTCTTAAATGAACACTCATCTTCTGTAAAGAGTAACTGTAAAGAACACCTGAAACTGTATCATTTAAACAGAGATGTGGAATGTGGAAAATTTTGAGCACCTTGAATGTGTAAGTGTATGTATGTTTGCATATGTGTGAGAGAGAGAGCGTTTGATATATCTCCATCATACTTCACAGCACACCACTGATCAATGAGTCCCTTGTTCAAGTCCACAATGTGCTGCAGACCTATTTGAGCTGTGTCAGGATGCAATGTACTGGTTGAGGGGGAAGCTTCGTCCCAATGCTGGAACATGACTGTTTATGGATTGAAACATTTGCGGTCATGAGGTGCAGAGCAAAAGCAACTGAGGATTCTCCATGACATTTGGCTTGGGCTAGCAGAGATTATCTGAAAGGAGAGAAAACTGTTAAGGCATGAACTTAGTCATAACAATTATTTGTTTGGAGACGACTGTCAACCATTACCTGATAAATCTTCATTGTGACACGGATTGTTTGTAGCTCGGACGGCACATGAATGTCCATACACTCAATGTCTTCTGGCTCAACATAGAAGAGCTCTGTGGCAGACTTTTGCTGCTGAAGCTCCTCAAAAAGCACCCGAGCATTTGATATGTCCTTCCCTCTAGCTATGATGTCATCAGCTCTTCTTTTCACTGCTATTTCTGTAGTTTTTTGTGAAAAAATGGAACATAGCTTCACTGATTAGCTTTGAATTAATACTTAGCATTTCATGTATGCAAAATACACTTATTTAACTTAAAATTTTTAGCTTTATAAAAAAAACCCTTGAAGGTACAGCATGTTTGGAAATGACGTAGAATAAATATATTAACTGATCAAGCAATATTTACCTTGATTTTTCTTCATTTGTTGTTGACGAAAATTTTAACTCCCTCCATGTCCAACATGTGCTCTGATGTCACTGAACATTTCCATAGAAACCACCTAAACAATCTTTCACACAAACTCTTTAAAGGGACATTACAGTGTTGTGGTGGAAATGACACCAATACTGTGCGACAGCTATATTTTGTATAAAAAGTAATATTGATCGTGGTCTCACATTAAATACTATTGGTGGAAATGACACCAATACCACTGCCCACCTCGCCAATAAAGCATATGCATGGCATATACGCCATGGCGGTGCTGCAGGTTTTTCAGGCGAAGCTCCTGCAGGCGGCGGAGGGCGGAGCCCTCACGGTGGAGGCCGTTAAGGATTTTCGGCCGCAGCTGGAACAGCGACATGCACTGATTCGCACCGACAACATGTCTGTGGTCTCGTATACAAATCACCAGGGAGGCGTACGCTCCAGGGCTCTGTACAAGCAGGCAGCGAATCTCCTGCTATGGGCGGACCGTCACTTTCTCTCCATCAAAGCAGCGCACATACCCGGTCTCCTGAATCGCGGGGTGGACATGCTTTCGAGGAAAGGGATTCCTCAAGGAGAGTGGCGGTTGCACCCCGAGTCGGTTCGGGTGATTTGGGCCCGCTACGGGAGAGCGGAGGTCGATCTGTTCGCCACGAACGAGAATGCGCACTGCCCGCTGTTCTTCTCCCTGTCTCACTCCCCGCTGGAAGGGGACGCTCTGACATCGCACTGGCC